AGAGTTTGAGAAAATGTCTTCAGAAAGGACAGGAAGTGTAGTAGGGAGTGAGGTGATGCCTCTGGACTATGGGGGCATGGACTCAGAGAGTAGTCCGTCTCCATCTAGTTCAGAGAAGACAGTTGAAGGGGTGAGAGGGGATGAGGTGGTGGAGGTTGGGGAAGATGAGGTGGTAGGGGTTGAGGGAGATAACATATCCATTACTGTAGTAAAAGTAGAGGGTAGAGGAGGGGGAGAGTATGATGTGAATGCGGAAATAGTGGAGGAGGTGAAGCAGTATAGGTCTGAGCTAAGGACCAGGGATAGCCTGGGTCACTTGGTAGAGAATTACGAGATTTCATCTCGCGTGTTAGTTAGGCCAGCTGGGGTAGAGGAGAGGGCGTGCTCTGCTCCTCGGGATCACTAGATGCTTGTGTATTCCCACTATTTGATAGCGGGACTCAGGTTTCCACTTCCTGAGTTGCTAATAGGTTTACTGTTAGATTACAATATAGGTTGACACAGTTGGTCCCCAACGCAATGAGGGTAATAATAGGTTTTTTAGTTTATTGCCGAGCTCAGGGGATCAGTGTGCCAACTGTAAATATGTTTAAGTATTTTTTCATTTTGAAGGGGGGGAGTAGAAGGGATAAGGGGTGGTATTATTTCACCCCTAGGGTAGCTAAGAAGGAGAGTAGGATTTTATTTACTGCGGGTCCTTCATCCATTAAGGGATGGAAGGAAAAATTCTTTTTTGTGGATGATACGGAGTGGGGGAAGGGGGATGCCGAGGTGAGGGCGTTAGCTTCCTGGAAGGCCAAAAGGGCCAACCAGAATATGTTTAGCTTAAATGGGGATGAGGAGGAAGAAGTGAGGAAGTTGGTGAGGAAGAGGGGAGATGAATTGAATATCATGGACCTCACCAGCGCAGCATGCATAGAAGCTGCTGAGCTCTATGGGCTAAGCGCTCTGAGTGAAGGTTCGTTTAACATGCATTGTAGCGTTAAATGTAGAATATAAAATTGTGACTAATGTTGTGTTTCTTGCTTTGCAGCTCAAATGGACCAGTTTCTAAACACTGTTGAAGGAGCGCCCATCCCCAAGAAGCCAAGGAAGAAGTCAAAGACTTCAACCAAGAAAGTGGATGAGGGGAGGACTGGGAAGGAAGTGGTACCTTTGGCTTCAGCTGAGACGGAGGAGGAGGTGCCAGCGCTGAAGAGGAAGGGTTCGGAGGAGAGGAGGGCCCTGCAGAAGAAGCAAAAGGTGGTGGAGGAGGAAGAGGGGAATGGGGTGCCTGAGTTCGTGCCTCAGCCTCCTCCTGTTGAGCTGAACCCTGAGCTCAGACGGTTGGAGGAGGGGGCTGAGGTACGGGCTCCTGGTAAGGGGAAGGGCCCTGTTTCCCCAGTGGTGCCTCAGAGCAGCCTGTTTGAGGCAAAGAACATAATGGGGGCTAGGTGGTTCATCAACAGCACCTTCCCCGAAGTGGACAAGTGCAACGCACGGGAGGAAGCTCTGAGGTACGGGGGAGCATCTGTTGTGAAGCATGTTCTTGAGGTATGTTAAATTAGTGTTGCTATTTATTATTCTGTTTCTTCTTCTCTTCTTTCTCTTTGAACTTCTGCTTTGATTTGCAGAGCGCGAGCTGGGTGAATGGTCTAGCCCAAGAGTTCAGGGAGAGTATAAAGGAGCGCGCACTCTTGCAGAGGCAGTGTGACCAGTTGCAGAAGGAGAAGGAGGAGCTGGAGAAGAAAAATAAACATTTGCAAGAGTCGCTGGACGAGGTGCTTCCAACTGTTTCACAGTTGGAGCAAGAGAGGTCTTCCCTGAGCACCAAGCTCGCTTTTGAGGAGAGCAAGCGAAGGATCGCTGAAGGCGAGCGTGAGGCTCAGGCGCAAGAAATGAAGTTGATGACAGAGGCGTTCAAGGAGCTAAAGGGGAACATGCGGAAGTTGGTGCATAATGGGATGAAGGAGCACATCAGCAACTTCATCGGTTCCAGCTCATTTGACAGCATCGTCAACCTGTACCGACTGCCCACTGCCATCATCGCTTTCACAGACTGCAAAAAGAAGGTGAAGGCTGCATATCCCGAAGTGGATGTGACAAAGGTCACCTTCGGCGAGCAAGAAGAAGGAGTGGAGGAAGATGGTGAGAGCATGTCAGCAGACTTCCGTCCTCAGATCAAACTGAGGTGGGAGGATGATGCGGACGGTCTTGCTGTTTTTCCTCCACAGTTCGACTTCGAGTTCGTTGCAGTGGAGGAAGAAGGAGCAGAGGTAGAGGAAGACGAAGTGGAGGCAGGAGTGGAAGGAGCTGGAGTGGATGATAGTCAACCAATTCCAGAAGTGGAGATTCATCCAGTTCCTTCTGACGATGAGGAGCCTCCTCTGCCAGACGAGCAGCAGCCAACACAACCACCTCTTCCAGCTGAACAGGAGCCAGTGGAGCCACCTCTCCCAGAAGAATAACTTGTTTGTTTTTTAATTTTTTAATTTTTTTGTAAAGACATTTACAGCTTGTAATCTTTATTTTAATTGAAATGAAAATTTATATTTGAAATCATGTGTTTGTTTATATTTGCTTTACATTTTTGGTATTATTTTTTATTAATAAAAGAACTGAGATTGTGATTTGGATGAAAGGCAACCATTTCAGAAATGATCTAAGGGGAAGTAAGTCACTTTGGACGAAGTAAGAAGAAGTAAATAACTTCCATGTAGATTAGGAATGAGTACATCATTGTGAACGAACTTAAAAGGAAATAAAGTACTTCACATGTGAAGTAACTTTTATTAATCAGAAGTGAGGTTTAAGTACTGATTGACCTCGGATACATTAAAAAAGAGATAAAATCAATCTTAACAAACACGGAGTGAGAAGCATAAAGAACAGTAAGACATAGATTGCTTGGAAGAATTTCATTAGGGGTAAAATTTCTTTAAGTTATTGACATTCCAGACTCTAGGAACTCGCTTTCCTTCAGTGTCTTGGAGAATATAGGCACCAGGATGTGGCACTTCGGCCACGGCATAAGGGCCTTCCCAATTTGGGGCAAGTTTGCCAAAATGAGTTTCAAACCCCGTTAGGCCAGCTTTTCTTAGAACAAGGTCTCCTACTTTGAATGTTCGAGGGCAGACTCGTTTATTGTAGAAGTTGGCTATCTTCTGCTTGTATACAAGAGTTTGAAGCCGAGCTTCTTCTCTGACTTCGGCAAGCAGATCAAGGTTTTCCCGAAGCAGTTGTCCATTTCGTTCTTCATCGAAATGGGTGACTCGGAAGCTTGGGACTCCTATTTCAACAGGAATGACTACTTCGGTACCAAAGGCCAGGTGGTAGGGTGTTTCACCTATTTCAGTTAATTATATCTTTAGAATGCGCTTTATGCATTATGCATATTTGCTCTAAGGTAAATCGTAACAGAAGAAGTGAAATGCTATAGAAATTAATCAAATAAACTCGGTTTAAAGTAGTACCTGTGACAGTTCGGCTCGTGGTTCTGTATGCCCAGAGGACGTTGTTGAGCTCGTCTGCCCACTTGGCCTTATGCTGCTCCAATCTCGGCCTTATACCTTCCAAAATGCATTTGTTAACAGATTCCACCATGCCATTGGACTCCGGATGGTAAACGGAGGTGAATTGTAACTTGATCCCATAACTGGAACAGAAATCTCGGAATGAGGAGCAATTGAATTGAGTTCCATTATCAGCTACAATTTGATTCGGGATCCCATATCTGCAGATGATCGAGCTGAAGACAAAATCTTCGACTTTCTTGGAGGTAAGGCTAGATAAAGGCTGAGCTTCAACCCACTTTATGAAATAATTCACACCAATAACCAGATGGGTTACACCACCAACCCCTTTCACAAATGGGCCTAAAAGATCCAGTCCCCACTGAGCAAATGGCCACGGCGCTACCAAGTTCATGAGCTCTTCTGCTGGTTGGTGAGTCAGGTGTGCGAAGAATTGACATTTCGGGCATTTCTGAACAAAGTAAGTGGCATCTTTGTACATGTTTGGCCAGTAGTATCCTTGTCTTAAGACTTTGTGAGCCAGAGTTCTAGCACCAACATGGCTCCCACAGACACCTTCATGTACCTCTCGAAGTGCGTATTCAGCTTCATAGGGGTTTAAACACCGTAGAAGAGGAAGTGAGAAAGATCTCTTATACAGGACTCCATTAACAAGTGTATACCGAGATGCTTTCTTCCTCAATTTCATTGCCTCCTGCCTGTCCTCAGGTACTATCCCATCTTGTAAGAAGGAGACAATTGAATCAGTCCAGCTCGGCGTGTCAAGGTTTGTGCTAATCTCCATCACCCGAGGCTTCGTGAAGCTTGGTTCATCTAAGACCTCTACAAAAACGGATCTAGAGCTTAAAGAGCTATCAGAGGCAAACTTGGAGAGTGAATCTGCCTGCTCATTCTCAGCTCGGGGAATTTTACTCAGACAGAATTTCTGAAATTTGCACTTCAGCTCGGCCACCAAGGCTACATACTTTACCATCACAGGATTAACGACTTCGCAAATAGAGTTGATTTGGTTCACCACCAGCTGAGAGTCACTGTATACTTGAATTGCATTGATTTTCAACTCTAATGCTAGTTGTAGACCAAGTAGCAGAGCTTCATACTCAACCATGTTATTTGTCGCATCAAAGTTGAACTTCAGGGCGTGTTCGCTTCGGTATCCCTCTGGACCAATCAAGAGAGCACCAGCCCCTGAACCCTTGCTACTAGATGCTCCGTCAACATATAAGGTCCAGTCATTGGGCTCTGGATTAGAGGTTGAAGGACATGGAGTGCATTCGACAATAAAATCTGCTAATGCTTGAGCTCGGATGGCCGATCTCTGCTGGAATGTTATCTCCAACTCTCCCAGTTCTACTGCCCACTTAATTAATCTTCCAGAGCACTCTAGTTTCTGCAGAATCTACCTGAGAGGTTGATCGGTGAGAACTATAATTGGGTGTGACTGGAAATATGGCCTCAACTTCCTGGCCGAAGTGACGACTGCTAATGTTGCTTTCTCAGCTATAGGATACCTTAGCTCTGCTCCGTGTAGCACACTGCTGATATAATAAATTGGTTTCTGCTGCCTAGCTTCTTCTCTCACCAGAACTGAACTAATGGCCTCATCTGAAATCCCTAGGTACAAGTAAAGAAGTTCACCATCTACAGCCTTAGTCAACAGAGGCGGTGAGTTAAGATAAGACTTCAGCTCTTCAAATGC